AAGAAAGTGAAGCTCGGAGCTTTTGGTTGTTTGTTTGGGAAGCCTTACAAGACATGACCCTTATGATCCTCGGCGCGTGCGCATTTGTTTCTCTACTTGTTGGCATTGCAATGGAGGGATGGCCAGTTGGGGCTCATGACGGTCTTGGTATAGTAGCTAGCATTTTGTTGGTTGTCTTTGTTACTGCAACAAGTGATTATCGTCAATCGTTGCAGTTCAGAGACCTGGATAAAGAGAAAAAGAAAATATCCATTCAAGTTACTAGGAATGGGTACAGACAAAAGATGTCTATATATGATCTAGTTCCAGGTGATGTTGTTCATCTCGCAATAGGTGATCAAGTCCCTGCAGATGGACTCTTCCTTTCAGGATTTTCTGTTTTAATTGATGAGTCCAGTTTAACCGGAGAAAGTGAGCCAGTGATGGTCAGTGCTCAGAATCCTTTTCTGCTTTCTGGAACCAAGGTCCAAGATGGATCTTGTAAGATGTTGGTAACAACAGTTGGGATGAGGACTCAGTGGGGAAAACTGTTAGCAACTCTCAGTGAAGGCGGAGATGATGAAACTCCATTACAGGTCAAACTGAATGGAGTGGCAACAATCATTGGGAAAATAGGCCTTTTCTTTGCTATTGTGACTTTTGCAGTACTTGTGCAGAAAATGTATAGCCGTAAACTGACAGAGGGATCTCACTGGAGCTGGTCTGCAGGAGAGGCTAGGGAATTATTGGAATACTTTGCAATTGCAGTTACAATTGTAGTGGTTGCAGTTCCTGAGGGACTTCCCCTGGCTGTGACATTAAGCCTTGCATTTGCGATGAAAAAGATGATGAACGATAAGGCACTTGTTCGACATTTAGCAGCTTGTGAGACAATGGGTTCGGCTACGACTATTTGTAGTGACAAAACAGGCACGCTAACAACCAACCGCATGACTGTAGTGAAAACATGCTTCTGTATGAATGTCAAGGATGTGACTAAGCCAAATGATGCATCCGCCATTTGTTCTGAAATCCCTGATTCTGTACTCAAAACTTTGCTGCAGTCAATTTTTAACAATACTGGAGGTGAAGTTGTAGCTACCAAGCACGGAAAACCTGATATATTGGGAACACCAACTGAGACTGCTATTTTGCAGTTCGGTTTAGCACTTGGTGGAGATTTTCAGTCAGAAAGGCAAGTAGGTAAACTTATAAAAGTTGAGCCATTTAACTCCACTAAGAAGCGCATGGGTGTGGTGCTGGAGCTTCCTGAAGGAGGTTTAAGGGCTCATACTAAAGGTGCTTCGGAAATAATATTAGCTGCCTGTGATAAGGTAATTAATTTGAAAGGGGAAGTTGTTCCCTTGGATGAAACATCAACTAACCATCTGAAGACCACAATTGATCAGTTTGCTAGTGAAGCTCTTCGCACTTTGTGTCTTGCCTATATGGAGCTGGATAAAGGATTTTCCCCTAATGCTGATATTCCAGTTTCTGGGTATACTTGTATAGGTATTGTAGGTATAAAGGATCCTGTCCGTCCTGGAGTCAGGGAGTCTGTTGCACTTTGTCGTTCAGCTGGTGTCACTGTTCGAATGGTTACTGGAGATAACATCAATACTGCAACAGCCATAGCTAGGGAATGTGGTATACTGACCGATGATGGTATTGCCATTGAAGGTCCAGTTTTCCGGGAGAAGAATCAGGAAGAAATGCTAAAGCTGATTCCCAAAATTCAGGTACTTCAGTAATTCCGTTTACACATTGACAATGAAGAGATCGTAACAGATTATTCTTCCAAAAGTTTCCTGCTCATTCATTATGATATTTGATTTATTGATTGTCCTCTTAATTTGTCCAGGTGATGGCTAGGTCTTCACCACTGGACAAGCACACTTTGGTGAAGCAATTACGAACCACATTCAATGAAGTGGTAGCAGTAACTGGTGATGGAACCAATGATGCTCCTGCACTGCATGAAGCAGATATTGGACTTGCTATGGGCATTGCTGGAACTGAGGTGAATATATAATCTCTTCTTGGTTCATTCCAATCCGAGTTGTTTGAATAGTTGGGTGTTAGCCATATTACTTAAGTAACAAATTATCATTAGATGATGCGGTTACAGGCACTTAATTGGAGGATGATACGTACGATAGAATAGCAATTAGAAATAAGGGGCATTGTATGTCTCTTAAGTGCTTGTGCAATTTTCGCCAATACTCGTTTGAGTTTGTCTCTTATTTTGTTGATAACATACTTATTCTAAGGCTTGACAGTGAGATGACCGGTCTAAGTATTTTGTTAGCTAAAATAAGATGGAATTCATTCTGAGACTCGGAAAATAGATGAAAAACAAAAAGAATTGAGTCTATCTGATGGCGAGCTTCTTCTATGTATACTGACTATATAAGGCCAAATTTTGCCACATTGAGTGGTATTTGTAAGTGTATTCTAACTTACTTCCTCTGAATCTGGTTTTAGGTTGCCAAAGAGAGTGCGGATGTCATCATACTGGATGACAATTTCTCCACAATCGTGACAGTAGCCAAATGGGGACGCTCAGTCTACATAAACATTCAAAAGTTCGTTCAATTTCAGCTGACTGTTAATATTGTTGCATTGGTTGTCAACTTCTTGTCAGCTTGTTTCACAGGTCAGGAGAATTTATCTTCTTGTACTATGTATTAAGCAGATTACTATTTCCAGTTACCTCTGCTGGATAGCGACCTAAAGTAGTATTATTAATTCTTGTACTATGATCATGCTTCAGGAACTGCTCCACTTACTGCTGTTCAACTTCTGTGGGTTAACATGATTATGGATACATTGGGAGCACTTGCCCTAGCAACAGAACCTCCTCATGATGAACTAATGAAAAGAGCTCCAGTAGGGCGGTCAGGAAATTTTATTAGTAACGTCATGTGGAGGAATATCTTGGGACAATCCTTATATCAGTTCCTAGTAATATGGTTTCTTCAGTCAAACGGAATGGGATTATTTCGTCTAAGTGGCCCCGATGCTCAACTAACCCTCAATACAATTATCTTCAACACATTTGTTTTCTGCCAGGTAAAAACTGAAAGACCTTTGCAGTAATTTTCTGCAGTACGTTAGATAATGGTGTAAAAAGGAGAAGTTTACATTCCCTTTGTTGTTATTTGCAGCTCTTCAATGAAGTGAACTCCCGAGAAATGGAGAAAGTTGAAGTTTGGGAAGGGATGCTTGATAATTATGTATTTGTTGCAGTTCTCAGCATAACTCTTGTGTTCCAAATCATAATTGTAGAATATCTGGGGACATTTGCAAACACAACACCCCTCTCGTTCATTCAATGGTTCTTAAGCATATTTTTCGGATTCTTGAGCATGCCAGTTGCAGTAGGCTTAAAAAGGTTTGAGGTATGAAGTACATGGACAGAAGGTACCTAGTATTTTTTGTAACAATTCCTTCACAAAAGGAGCTGCCCTGCTAACTCTTTATTATGAAAATGAAATATTTTGAATGATGCAGCCTCAGTAACACAGTTGTAAGATCCCAAAATTCCTTCTGTTTCCCTGGTTTTTCTTTTGCTTGAGGGGAAAAAAGAAAAAAAACGAAAAGTAGGAGGATCCAGGATTCCAGAGCTTGTGAAGCAGTGTCTAGCCTAGGCTTTTTTAAAGTAGCATTTTTTGTTCAATTTATTGGATTTTTCATGTAATTATCCATTTGTAACTGCTAATGAAGAAAGATTTTGTTTAAAGCTTTCAGTTTTCTCTGAGACTGGCTCTTTTTGTTTCTGGGTTCTGTCAGTTGGATACATCCATAATAGAGAACATTTTAAAATTTCAAAAGCTGATTGATATTCTCTATTTAGAAGGTACTTTTATGGAATGGAAGAAGCTTATATGTTTGATGCTGAAACTGCTAATTCAGAAGTTTTCTCACTCAAAATGCTCCTTCCCTCCTTTTTCCCCTTTTGATAATAATAATTGCATTCTTAAGTATGAATTGCATCATATATAAGTTTTTTTCTTCCTTTCCACGCTGCCGAAGGTCTATCGAAAACAACATCTCTACCTTCATAAGATAGGGTAAGTTCTGCGTACATACTATCCTTCTCGGGCTCCACTTGTGGGATTACACTGAGTTTGTTATTGTTATTAGAGGTCAGATACATTTTTGATTATTTTTCTTGAGCGAAGTAAATGAAGATATTTCTATTGACAAATAAGGGTGAAACTCAAACCCTGCGCGTTTTGCTTGCTAATGTATGTCATATTAAATTGAGTGAACTATCTATTTAAGAGATTAAACTTCTTAGAAAGAAGGTATTAAATAATTATTAATTTTATGCCTCCACAAATAATTAAGATAGCTGATCTCAAGATTATCTTGCAAATTGAAGATTATAAATCCCTTTGCGGTAAGCATTGAAGACAATAAATCGCCAATTATGATTAGAGTCAATTCAGCCGGGGAACACGTTGCATCCCCCATTACATAAATTACATATATCTTTCAAAGCCTAGAATTATTCTAAACGCTTCCGAAAATCAACCTCAAAAAGGAAAGAGATAAGGAAAAGGCAACACCATATTCTTTTCTCGAGGATAAACTAATTAATTGTAAAAATTATCTGATCTACTTCTAATGTTTCATCCCAAATAAAACTAAATTACGTACGCGTTGATTCACAAAGAAAAGTCGAAAAAATTGCTGTTAAATTGTGAATCCTTTTGTTGGTTGTGTAACATTTTGCTGAATCATATTTAGATAGGGCACGTACTCTGTTGATGAAAACAAGCACGTCAAACGTATTGAAAGTCAAAATATATATTGCAATTATATTAATTTAAATTAAGTAGGTAAATAATCTTCTTCTTAATTATGGATAAGTTATAAATGGTAATTCCATAATTTAATCTTTTCCCCTATTATTTCATGTAATCTAGATTTTCTTCATTTCTAGTAGCATAGTTATCTATATAAGAAGTCCTTGGCATAATGTCTACAACCAATTCAAATTAAGTTTCCTTTGATTCCACAATAGAGCTTGAAAATTTGCTTGTTGTTTTAGCATTTTCAAGATGATGAAGACTTTAGTTTATGTTGCGTTGTTTCTGAGCTTAGTACTGCAAACAAGTGCCGACAAAAATCTAGTACAAAACACATGCAAGAACACACCCAACGTCCAGCTATGCCTCAAAACCTTACTCGCTGACCCACGCAGCGCCAACGGCGACGTCAATACGCTGGCGCTGATAATTGTGGATGCCATCAAAGTTCAAGCAACGCAGGCGGCGGCCACCATTTCCAAGCTCCAGCAATCAAATCCTCCAGCGGCCTGGATTGTCCCTTTAAAGAATTGTGCTTTCTCCTACAAGGTAATGTTGGATTAGTGTAAGTGGTTGGGTGAGCGATTATTTAGGTTAGTTTTTCAAGAAAAGAGATATCTATTCAAATTAATTTTTTTTTAATATCAATTCTATTGATATTCTAATCCTGCAAGACCATAGGCTCGCTCTGAGTTCCTCCATCCGATGACTTGACTCTCGATCTCAATCGTGTTCCCCTAAATAGTAATTATAGCAAATAAAATAAAATAATTTTCTAGGACAAAAGTTTTTTTCACGTCTCAAAGCTTTCTTTCACTTATGTCATTCTGTTTTGTTTAACAGGTAATCCTAACTGCGAGTGTGCCAGAAGCCACTGAAGCTTTGACAAAAGGGGATCCAAAGTTTGCTGAGGATGCAGTAGTTGGATCTTCTGGTGATGCTGATCAATGTGAGAAAACTTTCGGTGGTAATAACTCACCTCTCACTGCTCTAAACACAGCCGTGCGTGAGCTTTCTGATGTGGCCAGAGCTATTATCAGAACTTTACTACTTTAGTATGTATATTCCCAATCATTCGAATAATGGTCAACTTGTTTGAACCAGAAAAGACTTCCATTTTGCCCTCAAATATGAATAGAATTTTACAGAACCCCTTATCTGATTTAAACTGATGACATTTTGGGTGTACTCGTATTTGATCTTGGAATAATGGATTTTTTCGATTATTACGGGAAAATTTGTTTTATGTCCTAAATATTGTTCTGTTTTGTTTTGACAAGCAAAACGGGCGTTTATATATAACAAATATGATTGATCACGCCCAACTATGTTTTATAAGAAGGACTAAGCGGTCGCTGTAAAAATAATTCGGTTCAAGAGTCGGAGTCGAATCCCACAGGGAACTAACCTATTTGCTACAACTTTTAGTATCGCTAATGATAAACTCAGACAATTTTCAAAGTTCAAGATTTTATTTGATAATTAACAGAAATTATTTAACTAAGGAAAAATGACAATAAAAACTATCAATAAGCAAGAATGAAGTTGAATTCAAGGGTAAAAAAATCTAGGGTTATTGATTTCCCCAATTGTCGGATTAATTCCTGACATGTTAGCTATAATCTCGCCGTAACACTCTATAAAGATGATGAGTTCTTGCTTACCGTACTTATCTCTCGATCAATTACGATAATTTACTAGAAACATTCTCTCGAACTACTCTAGTTGACAATTTGTATGACTCATAAATATCACACCAAAGCTTCGTTATCTCTACTCTCACTTTTAAATTCAAGTAATTAATCTCTTAACTTACTCGAAAGTGGCGTTGTTCAATAACAATCTAATCAAGTATTCTTTCTTAAGCAACATTAGACAATTAGACACGATTAATCAAGGGCCCTTTCAATTAATCACAAGAAACACATAGTTGAACAATTATAGAGTAAAAATGGTTTAATTATATCAAAACGTAATCAAGACTTCATCCAACAATTGATTCCATCAACCCTAGATGACGGGTTTAGCTACTCATACTACTATGCAAGATTACAATATAAAAAGTCATAACCAACAGTGGAATTAAGAAGAAGATGATGTAAAACTCGTAGGAGAATTTCCCTTCTTGCTCATTTTGTGTTCTTGCCTCCAAAGTTCTTCTAAAAATAGAGATACCCTCTTTTTGGGCGAGCTGAGCTTCATATAGGTCAAGGTTAGTCGCCTCTCAAATTATAAAATTGGCCATGGGCAATTTTTAACAGAAGCACGTGCACGGCCACGCATCCACCGCGCATCGACCGCACACTTTGGCCAGTTTCTGCCTGACATGCGCGGCCCAGTGCGCGGTCGTGCATAGACCGCGCACCTGGAGGATTTTCTGCAGTATTTTTTTCTTTCTTCTTTTTAAGCGCGCTAACCTCCAATTGGCCTTCAATGCTTCATATTAGCTCCAAAACACTCTTTAATGTCCTCATAGCCCGGAATTGCTCCTGCAAAGCATAAAATTCTTAATTAGAGCAATTTATTATCATTTAACATTCAAATATCAATAAAGTGCAGCTAAATTAGAGTGCAAATAGTAGCTAAACTATATAACTATAGCCTACTATCAATACCCCACACTTAAACTATTGTTCATCCCCGAGCAATTAAACCACACTCTACAGAGGTCTAATTTCACTAAGCGACTTCCCTAACTCATCACACCAAGAATATTTCACATAAATTGAGCACAGTAGTGTAACATCTTCACCTCAAGAGTTGAATCCCACGCACCCCGCAATATTCCTAACTTACTCACTTACTCTAACGCAGAGGTCAAGAATTACCTTTTCTTCATAAATCAAGTGTCTGCTCACAACAAAAGAGACTCATTCCACAATCAATTAAATTCACGCATAATGAGGGACTTCAAAATAGACAGAATTCACTCACCCTTAGAAACGATATTCTTGTGCCACAAAAAATGCTCTATAGGCTTGCCCGTAGTGTACTACTCTACCAGTCGAGCTCATTCAGTCTAGGATCAAGTAGGACTTTATTTGGTTGTAATATAGGCTGCGGGTCGGGTAGGATATAATTGGATATAAGAGTGACTACACCTCCCTAAGTACTTTAATACATATACTTTAACATTCAAGTCCATACTTATGTCAAACCAACCCTCCACCTTCACATCAACGTATATTACCCCATACTTCTTTAAGCATAATTACATCAAAAGCCACCAAAGAAATATTATTCACCACAATACAACTATTTTTTTCCTTTTTCAATTCACGTGGCTTTTATTATTTTTTTATTTTTTCAACACAGTGCACCTTTCTCCTTATTTTATTAGTTCTACTCAAAAGCCCCACCAACCACCCCACACTTTAATTCATAGCAATTCAAGTGCTCATGAAAGGTGAACATGTTTAAATAGATGGTTAATTCAAACAAAGGGGTAAGGCTTGTAATGTGATTGCCAAATAAATAGGATTACAGGCTCAAAGGGGTTAACTACGATACATTACAATTAGGTGGGTGGAATATATATATGGCTCAACAAAGAAACGCCTATATCACTTCCAAGACTGAACAAAACTACTATTTCGCTTTGCAAACACACGGGGCAAGTTCTAGGCATCAAATGCAGTGCACAAGATACAACAAACCTCACACACACATGGCACAAGAGTCACTCCAGATTGGATCATCAAAACACTTTAGTCAGGGTACTTAAGCCAAGTTAAGAACATACAATTTAAGGCACTCTTACAAGAATCAACAATTGAGCCTAAGTGTCACACTAAAGTACCCGCTATATTCAAGGCATAACGAAGTTAAGAGATCCTATTTCCAATTCAGCCCATAACCCAAGGGTTCCTAACTTTAAAAAAATAATTAAAAAAACTAACTACACTCGGTTCAAACGAAACCCTTGGAAAAGAACCGTGGCCCAAAGAGGGGGAGTTGATACACTCATAACAAAAGAAAATATTTTGTGTTTTTTTTTCTTCGACTTGAATCCCTCAAGAAACCCGTCGAATTATATCCATCGTCGAGACAAATCGAAACTTTTGAAGATCTTTGTTTTTTTTTATTCAGTTAATTATTGAAACTACACTACTCTACATAACTCTATACATACAACATACATACAAAATATCCCCCACCCCACACTTAAAATGGTGGCATGTCCCTATGCCACACAAATAAAAAATGCGAGGTAAAGGAAACTTCCCTGATACATCAATCCTGATCGGAGATAGTGCCGGGGTCGAGATGGCACGCCCTCCCCAGTACACACAGCCAAGCCATGATCTTCTTCTTAGATTTTGCATTTTGGGTGGCCAGTGCATCAACTCGAGTCCCCAAATCCATGACAGAAGTACGTAACCCTGCCATTTCATGTTCTAGGGTTGTCATCCGCGTATCCCATCTGACCACAGATGTTCCCTCAACCTCAGCAACTTACTCGTGTGGGAGTGACTCAGCCATAGACTCAGCCTGCCCTTCATCTCCCTCCTCTGGCGCATCAGACTCATCACTATTAGCTCTGCCAGGTACCACATGATCCTTCCCAGTGGTCACTTATCTGCCCAAAACTTTGGTTCTTTTTTCACTCTTCCATCTACGTTCTTGTTCTCCGGCACCCGTACTGCCCAGCATAATCTAGTGACTAGTGAAGGGAAGAAGAACTCATACTTATACACTGGACAACGGATGAACATATCGTCGTAAATAACCTTAGCCACATCAAAATCGTGGCCATTCATGAAGCACCAGATCAATGCAGCTCTGGGACCGTTCACCTCAGTGGTGTTGGAGGAAGGCTGCAGGCGGCTATTGATGATATAAAGCCAACACTTCCCTTCAAAGGTGAGTGAGGCCGAGTGAAACTTCTGCCCCCGCGTAACCCACACTATGTCTTTGTTTGACACACAGATTATTCTGAAAAACAGGTTCCATGAGGTTGGTTCTCTCCTATACGTATCATAATAGTCCTCCTCCCCACCAAATACTGCCAGCCGATATGCCCTCCTAATGGCATATATCGACACATCAACACTCTTTTGTCTCACAGTGCAAATATAATCCTCATGTTCAGAGCAGTTCGTGTAGAACTCTCGTACAACCATCAAGTTAGCCTCCTCGGGTTCTTTAAAGAAAATATCCAGCCAGCATCGAACCAATTCCTTATACATATTGGGGCAATCAATCTGGAGGGACCCCCTATCAACACCCCGTTCCGGTATGGGCTTCTTAGGAGCCTTCTGACTAAAATGTTCTTGGGCTGAGCTTGATATAAATCTTGTGCTATCAAACTGAGGCGCATTGGTTGAGGTCCGTGCCCGGGACGAGCTTGCATGACCACTAGAAGAAGCCCATGTGGTTCGTCTTTTCTTTGAGGGTGTCATAGTACCTACAAAATAAATACCACTATCAGTACAAGGCGGGATGTGTGAACCAATAGCGGTTACTTAGACTTCACCTGCACAATTAGTCACAAATTACATTCACGAATTCACTGTGGCATTTAAACAAGCACTTGATGTGCAAATTCACCCCAAATTCCCCAAACACCCAATTATACCTCAATTCCACCACAATCTTAACAATGTCTAATCCAATCCAACAAGATAAAATTCCACTATCCTCACATACTAATAAGTATACTTAGTAATACAAAGCAAAAAAAAGAACAACAATGACTTCTACTACTTAAAAGAGAAGAAGAAAAGAAAATAATTTGGAAAATCTAAAAAATAAAAAATAAAAACTGAAGGAAAAGGAAAATAGAAGCCATGGCACGTACCTGAAGAAGCTTGTGAGGAATAGAGATTGGGGAGTGATTGAGTAGGGAAGAGGAGGAAAGGGAGGTAGGTTTTTACTTTTGAAATTGGGGAGAAGGGATGGTTTTGGTTGTGTGTTTGTTGTGATAGAGGAGGGTTTGTTTTGTTTTTATTCAGATTTTAGGGGAGGAA